GTGGACTTCAATCCTTTCAAGGCCAGTTCTCAATAAAACATCTCTATTGCTGATTAAAAAACAAACCATCAAAAATGCCCATCCGTTGCTGTTTGCAATGCATATGAAATACCTCCAGTCTCCTGCTGCTTAAATAAGACAGCAGCACCAGAGAGTGAGGGCAGCTGAGCACCTGGGCCAAAGCACATTTAACTCGAGAGCAGCAAGCCCAGGTCTATTTCAGAACAGGGGTAGCCACAGGCAGCTGGGCAGTCTCAAACCTACAGCCAAACCTCTGGGCTACAGAGGAAGTCAGAAGGAGTGCCTCCCCTAATCAACATTTAAACAAACAGCTTCCACAGGCAGGGGAGACGCAAGCCCCACATCTCCCAGGACACATCCAACACAATTCTATTTGAAGCCTCTCTAAAGCCCAGCAGAGGGAGGATTCAAACCTGTACCACCACTAAGCAAGGTAGGTAGTCTACCTACTGGATGACAAAGTGCAGGGTTGCTGCTGCCTAAATAATATTTAACTAACATGTACCAGCTTCAACAGGCAAGCTCAAGGAGTCCCCAGCCTGCATCAACATGGCTAGCTGTATAACCCAAGTATGCACATCCCTCTTCCCACACAGCCTTTTCAGGGAACAGAAAGAGGATTAGCTGCAGTAGATCCCTTAATGCACCAGAGAAGCCCCACCACTGGCCTAGAAAGGAAGCCTGAGACACCACGTCACCCCAGTGCTGGTTAACTAAAGTGGAGCAGTTTCAATGTGTGACATTGGGGGGGGGGGTCAGCTCCTCATCGCAGTAGCCTGGGACCCAATGATTAGGCCATTCACCTGGGCAGCAGGTGAGTGCCCTTACTTCCCCCTTGCCTCATGAGAAGGAAATGAAGACCCTATGAATGGCCAGACTGGGTCAGACCAAAATCCTGTTAGTCCAGTCAACCATCTTCTAACAGTGACTGATGCCAACCTCCATCCACAAAGGTAAAGGACAGAAGAGGGCAATTATCAAGTCCTCTGTCAGCCACTCCTGCTCAGCTGGCAGTTGGAGGTTTAAGGATGCCTGGAGCACAGGACTGTCTTAGCTAATAGCCCTTGGTGGAGCCATTCTCCATGCAGTTGCTCACTTTATTTTATTTTATTTTTTTATTAAACTAACTTACAGGCTGGCCTTCACAACATCAACTGGCAAGAAGGGCCACGTGCTGACTGTGCCTTGCAGGAGGATGTACCACCTTTGGCTTGGTTTAAACCTGTTGCTTATTCATGTACTTGGATCACCCTGACTCTTGTGTTACATGAAGGGGTAATTAACCGTCCTTAGTCACTTCTTCACACGGTTTGTATTACTCTAACAGAGCTGGCCTTTGTAATGACTCTCCCATGCTGAGCCCCCTCCCTTTCCTTTTCCACAGTCACAGGTGAGGCCTTCTAACCATGAGGCTAGAAGTTACATGGTAGGCCTCAGCCTCCTTCGCAAACAGAACACGCCAACTCAGTAGCACAGCTTTCATTCTGAAAAATCAACATTGAAAGTTCTGGGGTGACGAATATCACACAAATACAAATATACACAAGGCACGGGCATAAGAACCAGAGGGGTTTGTTTTTATTTACTGTTCATTTTACTCAGATGCATGCAAAAGATACACACAAGAAATCCACAGTTCCCAACAACTGAAAAAGGGTTGAATTCATGCTCACTGTACATCTACCCGCACCACTGGGAAAATTGCCATTTACCTTGCTGGACACTCGATCAGATTTTATGGGCTCAGCCCTGCCTGCGAAAGGCCACCCACAGGAGGGAATGGGATATCTCTCTCCATGAACAAGCAGGCTATTTTTCTCATGGCCAGGCTTCAACACACAGGGGACAGTCTTCTAGACTGCTAGGGTGCAGTCCCCAGTATGTGCTAACCAAATTGCACACACTGGTGCAGTGTGTTACTGCACATTCCCCAGGCCCACCTGGATGAATATAGCACTGGCAATGCATTACTCAGTGCAACTGAGTCAGAAGTTAGCTTCTATAGCCAATGGGTAACTATTGTGCTAAGGCAGATTTGGCTGCACTGGGCACATACACAACCAACAAAATCACTATCAAATCTCTGGGGAAAAAATCTCTTCACCACCACATGCACGAAACATCTGCTGTGGTCATAAACAATTATGGAGAATTAGGCCAAAATCCAATGTGCCAGTCAACTCCAACACAACTTTTAATCAAACTTAGGCATAGGACTAACACGGGTCTCTGAAAAGCGAAGCACAAATTACCCCTCCCCACGAAGTTTTGTATAAAGACAAGCTGTCTACCTTAGTTATAATTCACTTTAGCACCATTATGCGGCAAAGGAGATATTTGAAAACTAATGTACACTTAAAACCAAGTGCTTTGGGCTTTTGATTTCAAACAGACTTTCTGCCAATTTTTTTGAAAGAAAACGAAGCAAACATTGAGGGATCAGATAGCCACTAAAAGCTAGTTTTTGTGACACTTATCAGCTTCTGCTCTCATTTCAGACTACAATAAAAGGGCAAAGTTGTGAGAAATCAAAATTCACCCTTCAGTGTGTGTGTGCGATGGATCTGAGCCACATCTCTGCAGCCAAATCCAATTCCTGATTGAGCTTTCAGGGCCAATGCTTTTGTTTGACCAACACAGAGGTGGGACAGCTGTGAAATCTGAATGTGATCCGAATAGTCCTGGGATGTTTGGGCTAGGGATGTAAAAACTGCCTAAAATAGTTAACTGTTAAATGATTTGTTTAACCAGTTAACCATTGGCCGCAGGTGGGGGAGCTGTTCTGACCTCAGTTCACTGTGGCCAGGCTCCAGATGGCAGGGCTCACTGCAGCCGCAGGGGTGGCTCCGGCCCCAGCTTGCTGTGGCTGGTGGGGGCGGCTCTGGCTACACTGGTCTGCTGCGGCTGGGGTCCTGCTGGCTATGCCACCAGGCACAGGGGGTGGTACTCCTGCTGGCCAGACCCTGTGATTCAGCATTTACCTGGTAACCATGCTGGTAAGGCTAATGCTTACTAGGTAACTGGTTAACCTTTTATCCCTATTTTGGGCCCTGGGATATTATTGCATTAGCTCCCTGCAAAATATTGGTGGATTGAACAGATGCTATCCACTGATATTGAATTGCATAATCATTCTGCAAGGTATGAAAGAGGCTGATTGTGTTTTCAGGGCCAGTGAAATAAAAGAAACAGAAGAATTGCCAAAGATTGCTTAAGTCCAGAAAGTCAAGCGGAGAAGATGATAAATTGTTCGTAGGATTCAGTTCCTGAAGTTTTAAACAAGGCATTTGGACATCAGGAGTGTGAAAATAACCTGTTTGAGTAGTTGTGGGGGACCTTAATAGACAAAATACATTGGCGGTTAATGGAATATATATTTTTACACTTCCCTTTTCCAAACTGAAACCTGAACAATAGAAATTCATTTCTGTGAGGTACAGTACCCAAGCCACCTGACAGGACTTTGAGTCTGAAGCACAAATGGGGAAGATATTTGATCATGAAAGAAGAATACTTCCTCAGACAAGTCTATTCAGGCTGCACGAGAAAATGCCCTTGTGGGCTGGATTCTAGGATGCAATTCCCAGTTCTTCCAAAGACTTTCAGTGTCATGCTGGGCAAGCCACTGCCGGTGGGATCCACAGAGCTCCTTAGTCTCACATTTAGGCTACGTCTACACTGGCAGCGTCTTGCGCAAGAACTCTTCTGCGGAAGACTTATTGCACAAAAAGTCTTCCACAAGAGCGCGTCTACACTGGCATGTGCTTTTGCGCAAGAGATATGCAGTGTAGACATAGTGTAGACGCTCTCTTGCACAAGAAAGCTTTGATGGCCATTTTAACCATAGGGGCTTCTTGTGCAAGAAATTCATGTTGCCTGTCTACACTGGCCTCTTCTGGAAGAGCTCTTGCGCAAGAGGGCTTCTTCCTGAGAGGGTGCATCAGAGTTCTCGTGCAAGAAGCCCTGATTTTCTACAGTACAACGTCAGTTTACTTGCTCAAGAATGCACGGCCAGTGTAGTCAGCCGGCATGTTTTTACGTAAGAGCGGACATTTTCGCGCAAGAATGCACCAGTGTAGACACAGCCTTAGCGATAGGGAGAACTGTGTTGAGCCATCAGTCAAGGCTTGTCTCACTCCCTGTCCTCTGGTTCAACAGAAGAGCTCTATTAAAGGTCAGATCTGGCATCTTTTATGACCCTCCTTGAGAAACCCTGATGCGTGAAAGAATTTGCTAATTTTTGCAGTGTAGAAAGTAGAAGCCCCACTGTTTGCAGCTGCTCCAAAAGATCTCTGGAAGAAGCATAAAGTCACCCTGTCTCAAAGAAACAAAAAAAGAGCCAAAGATTGCTTAAATCCAGAAAATCAAGTGGAGAGGATAACAAATTGTCTTTTGGATTCTCTGCCTAAAGTCTGAAGAAATGCTCTGGTCATTGTGACACGATCAGCAGAAGATTTTACTCTGCTGTGAAGGGAATGAAAGCGAAGCTATGAAAGCTCTTTTGGAAACACTCCCAGAAAAAGATGACATGTTACAGTCTTTAACGTTAGATTTCAGGAAGAGAAGCAGACTCACCGAAGACCTTTCCAAGTAATTCCCACAGAAGAAATGGAAAGCCTCAACAATGAATTTAACTCCCAGTTAACAAGGAAACTTGAATTTGAAACAGAATCAATGTTAGTGATGTTTCTTTGCAAACAAAATTAGCACACTATGGGGTATACTTCCCACCAAAATACATTTGTTTTTTCCAACAGTACTATTACCAGCACCATACAAGCAAGGAGAAGCTCAAGAAAGCAAAAGTATTTCACCTTTAATAGCAAATTAAATATCACTACAAATCTCCCTGAAATTAATTTGGAAATGTTGGTCAGTATGAATACAGGGCATAAAAGGCAGAGGGAAGAACTGAACCAGGGTCTCCAATGATCCTGGTAATTTACCACCTTCTGAAGAGTGG